GGGTGCTTTACATTTCATCACTGCCTCTTATAACATCCCAAATCTGTTCACACTAATTTCCCGAATAAGCTCCTCTATATATCTGTGTACATTTCACAATACTAGAGGGTAATAATACACGTTCCCGACTGAGCGTTATTGGAAGTTGGATTCAACTAATTTTAAGGGGAGCATGTGTGTGTTAGTGTCAGTGGTTTGTGTGTTAATAAAGTTTGCGAGTGCTCTCAACGTCTGGGTGTAACCCAGGCCGTTTAATCAGTCCCAATGGGGTTCTCTTCATCTGCCGCCACTGCCGCTGATGGTTACATAAATAAAGGAGCCCCACTGACTGACCTGGCAGCAGCTGTCCGGGGAAAACACATCATGCTCATTTCTTAAAGAGTCCTTTTGTCACCTGGATTGCATCTCCAAGATCTGGCCAACCCTAGATTTTAAGCTTTCGTGACTGCTAGGATCCATACTCTTTGGTTCTATTGGGTAAAGTCACAATAGGTAAAAAAATAAAATAACAAAAATCACGACGTTTCGGCCACAACACAAGCGGCCTTCATCAGGTGAAGGGACGAGACTGTCTGGAGGACAGCGCTGGAGTGAAAAAAGCCACGCTCAGATCACGACCTTTAAGCTGTGTGAGAAGAAACAAAGCGCCTTGACAAAGGAATTAGCATATAATTTAGCATTGAAATGGCTCATTGAAATAGCGAAGTTAAAGTATACACATCCGCAGAGGCACCCGTTGACAAAGGAATTAGCATAGAATTTAGCATTGAAATAGCTGAGTGATTAGCTTGTAACTGGTCACAGAAATAGCTATGTTAAAGTCAGAGCATATACATTCACCGAGGCAACCAGTACAAATCAAACTGGAGAATTTAGCGAAACACAACCACGCTCAGACCGCGGACCTTTAAACTGTGTGCGAGCAAACAAGGTGTCCTGACAAAGAAATTAGCATAAAAATTAGCATTTGATTGGCCGATTTTAGAAAAGAGGTGGTGTACGTGCCGGTGGACTTGCCATTTGGCGCGGGGGGCGGGGGGGGGAGTTTACCTATTGATGGTGTGAAAAGGGAATTTATAAGAGCTGCGAAAGTTTGGGGTACCACTACTTGAAAAATATACTGTACCATTGAAATTTGTTTAATGTTTAGTTCGATTTAGAACATCTTTCCAATGGTTGCTTCATTTGAAACCATCTTCTCGGTTGAAATTGTGTCTGTGTTTGTAGATCTGAATTGCCTCGTGAACAAATCTCTGATAAAAACCCGTGGGTTTGCAAAGAACCTTGGTATCGGAGAAAATTATATCGTGATCACCCACAGCATTGTAACAGTGATCAGCCTCGGCAGAAAAATTCGTTTTGCCGTGTTTCAAATCTGATTTGTGCTCGCGAATTTGGTCAGAGACATGTCGCTTTGTCTCCCCGATATAGCAATCACCGCAGGTACAACTCAATTTGTAAACCCCGGGGTACTGTAAGTCAGGAATGACATCCTTCACGGATGGGATAAGATCACGAATTTTGTGTACTGTATTGAACCGGACCTGGATCTTGTGTTTGTTTAGAATTTTGGAAATCTTTTTAGTAACGCCTGCTATATATGGTAGTGTGATGGTTTTGACCGGAGTATCAAGTGGTTGTTTCTGTATGGAGGGAGAAACAGCTTGGCGGATGGTACGGTCAGAGTAACCATTCCTTTTGAGGGCCAGGTGTACATGTTTTAATTCACTGGTCAGGTGGTGTTGGTCCAAAATGCAATGAGCCCTATGGTATAAAGTTTTGATGAGAGAATTATTTTGGGCTGGGTGGTGGTGGGAATCAGGTTTCAAGTAGGAATCTGTGTGGGTGGGTTTCCTGTAGACAGAATGCCCCAACGAGCCATCAGGTCTCCTCTCAAACAGAACATCTAAGAATGGTAGCTTGCCATCTTTCTCCACTTCGATGGTGAATTTGATGGCACCCCACTTCGACCCATCGTATCCACGATCAACTCCCCTACCTATAGACTAGCCCGTTTTCTGTCAGATACCTTGCTGCCTTTCACTGGCAAGACCGCCTCAGCAGTACTTAACTCAGCCCAATTGGTCTCTATGGTCAAAGACGTTGTACTGTCCCCTGACGATATCCTTGTCAGCTTCGATGTGGTCTCTTTGTTCACCAAGGTCCCAGTACCTGATACCATTGAAATAATTGAAAATTTGGTCCAACATGGACTAGACCCCGACACACCTGCACTGGTTAGGCACTGCCTCAACAATACCTACTTTACTTGGAATGGCTCCTTCTACAAACAAAATGAGGGTACCCCCATGGAATCCCCCTTATCACCAGTGATAGCCAATATTTTCATGGATAAATTTGAATCAGACGCCATCCAGACTTCCACCCTCAGACCTTCCCTGTGGAAGAGATATGTGGATGACACTTTCGTCATTTGGCTACATGGCCTCCCAGCTCTGAACCTTTTCCTACACCACATCAATTCCAGACATCCCGCCATCAAATTCACCATGGAAGTGGAGAAAGATGGCAAGCTACCATTCTTAGATGTTCTGTTTGAGAGGAGACCTGATGGCTCGTTGGGGCATTCTATCTACAGGAAACCCACCCACACAGATTCCTACTTGAAACCTGATTCCCACCACCACCCAGCCCAAAATAATTATCTCATCAAAACTTTATACCATAGGGCTCATTGCATTTCGGACCAACACCACCTGACCAGTGAATTAAAACATGTACACCTGGCCCTCAAAAGGAATGGTTATTCTGACCGTACCATCCGCCAAGCTGTTTCTCCCTCCATACAGAAACAACCACTTGATACGCCGGTCAAAACCATCACACTACCATATATAGCAGGCGTTACTAAAAAGATTTCCAAAATTCTAAACAAACACAAGATCCAGGTCCGGTTCAATACAGTACACAAAATTCGTGATCTTATCCCATCCATGAAGGATGTCATTCCTTATTTACAGTACCCCAGGGTTTACAAATTGAGTTGTACCTACGGTGATTGCTATATCGGGGAGACAAAGCGACATGTCTCTGACCGAATTCGCGAGCACAAATCAGATTTGAAACACGGCAAAACGAATTCTTCTGCCGTGGCTGATCACTGTTACAACGCTGTGGGTGATCACGATATAATTTTCTCCGATACCAAGGTTCTTTGCAAACCCACGGGTTTTTATCAGAGATTTGTTCACGAGGCAATTCAGATCTACAAACACAGACACAATTTCAACCGAGAAGATGGTTTCAAATGAAGCAACCATTGGAAAGATGTTCTAAATCGAACTAAACATTAAACAAATTTCAATGGTACAGTATATTTTTCAAGTAGTGGTACCCCAAACTTTCGCAGCTCTTATAAATTCCCTTTTCACACCATCAATAGGTAAACTCCCCCCCCCGCCCCCCGCGCCAAATGGCAAGTCCACCGGCACGTACACCACCTCTTTTCTAAAATCGGCAAATCAAATGCTAATTTTTATGCTAATTTCTTTGTCAGGACACCTTGTTTGCTCGCACACAGTTTAAAGGTCTGCGGTCTGAGCGTGGTTGTGTTTCGCTAAATTCTCCAGTTTGATTTGTACTGGTTGCCTCGGTGAATGTATATGCTCTGACTTTAACATAGCTATTTCTGTGACCAGTTACAACTCTAATTAGTCAGCTATTTCAATGCTAAATTCTTTGCTAATTCCTTTGTCAAGGGGTGCCTCTGCGGATGTGTATACTTTAACTTAGCTATTTCAATGAGCCATTTCAATGCTAAATTATATGCTAATTCCTTTGTCAAGGCGCTTTGTTTCTTCTCACACAGCTTAAAGGTCGTGATCTGAGCGTGGCTTTTTTCACTCCAGCGCTGTCCTCCAGACAGTCTCGTCCCTTCACCTGATGAAGGCCGCTTGTGTTGTGGCCGAAACGTCGTGATTTTTGTTATTTTATTTTTTTACCTATTGTGATTTTACCCAATAGAACCAAAGAGTATCTGGCCAACCCTCGCATCAATTCTGCCGGTTATCTCCATGAGAGGTCCGAATGGCGACACACGTGTACATGAGTGTACATGAGTGTTTAGCTCGCATCGGGTCACCGCTACGCCAGTTCCACAAGGCCACACAGCTGACAGAGGAACGCTTTGGACGTTGGCTGGAAAGCTTCATCAGAGGACTGCATCCCACATGGATGTGAGGGAGCGTGCGTGGAGGTCTGGGCGTTGCGTGCGAAATACTGTGGGAGCCGTGTCTGTTATGTGCACAGTTTCGTAAATGGTGACTTGAACACAGAAGCCACAGGAGTGCGATTGTGGCCATGCAACCCAACACCGCGGGCCGCAGTTGTAGCAGTAAACCCACCGTGGTCTCCGCTCCTTCAATGGAGTATGAACAGCAAAACGACACTAACGCTCTTTGCTGAAGCCCTCTCGTCGTGGCCAGTAAACCTCACGTTGCAATTCAGCTCGCGAGTGAACAATCTTGCTGCCATGACAGGCGAGAGTAGCAGAGACACACTCCCCGTGCCACACTCCCACTCACTATTTCTCACTCACACGCATAGACAAATATCCTCCGTGTATCCGTAATCAACTTTTGAGGCACACGAGGGGATGGGTGGCCAGCACCACACCCATCAGCCTTTGTCTCCTCAGTGGCGATGTTTACATATCGCAACAAGTACGCATTCGAATCGAACCCGGGGCTCAGGGTCCGTAGTGCAGCGCGCTAGCCGTTGCGCTCCCCACACTCAGCTCTCACGCACTCCCCCGCCTTTGCGTTGCTGTGCTCACGCGCCACGGATCGCCCGTGTAAAACAGCCGGGAAACTGGCTGGACCGGAGCATCCTTGAAACAAATAAACTCAAATACTCTCACTGACACACACACTCTCTAACACGCACACATGATCTCCCTCGCACTCTCACCCACCCTCCCACACTCCCAACTCCAACACGCACTCTCACCCACCCACTCTCTCTCTCTTGCCCTCCCTCACCGGTCATGAGCGCGTCCAGCATGAGGCCCAGCACCATGTGCGCGCTCAGCAGCGCGGCTGCCGCGGGGCACGCCTCGGGGTCGGGGTACATGGCCCCGTAGCCGATGGTCAGCTGGCTCTCCAGGGCGAACAAGAAGGCAGCCAGCAGCCCCGTGAGCTTCTGCACGCACACGGGGCCCGAGGACGCCTCCTTGCCGGGGCCCAGGTCGCCGTGCAGCACGGCCAGTGCGTACCAGGCGAGGCCGAAGAGCAACCACGAGAGCGCGAAGGTAGCGCCGAACGTGAGCAGCATGAGGCCCCAGCGCAGCTCGAGCAGCGAGGTCCACACGTCCCCGAGGCGGCGCAGCGCGGCACGAGGACCCCGCGGAGCCCAGCGCAGGTGGCAGGAGCCGTCCCGACCGATCAGACGGCCGCCGGGTACCCCGCCGGCGCCGTTGTGACCTCCACCGTGACCTCCACCGTGGCCGTTGAGGCTTCCTCCGGAGTCTCCGACGTGGCCTCCACCGTGACCTCCACCGTGGCCGTTGAGGCTTCCTCCGGAGGCTCCACCGTACCCATCGCAAGTGGAGACATTATTGGAGCTCAGAGGACCACTGGAGGCCTCGGTGGCACCCGAGTCACTGGGGACCCCCCCAGGCTCGCGAGGGACGCCGTGGGAGCTGTGTCCACCCGGGGAGCCAGGGCCGGCCGGATCCACTGGGAGCCCGGCCTCCACGGCCAGGGAGACCCCCGCCGCCACCGTGGCTGCGAGCGACTCAGTCGAGTCACCTACTCACCACTCACCATGGACTCACTTCTTATCTGGGTCGGGGTCTTGGTTGCCTGCACTCCGGTCCGTGAGTCTGGCTTCTTCCACTCGTCTGGGTCCAGTCTGGTCCCTGTGTTCCGTCCCTTGTCTGGGTTCCACACATCTAGTTTCGCTCTGGCTACAGTGCCTGGGTTCTGCTCTGCAGGTTCCAGTCCCCTGTATCTCGTGGCAGCAGTAGTCGGAGTGCCTGAGTCTGGTTGAACCCTGGTCGCGGTCCCAGTGGCTCCACTCTCTGTGAGGCTCACTTCTGCTCTCGCTCCACTCCACGCGGTCGTGTGGGGGTGGGGGTCACGCTACCACGTGACGCCGATTACTCACGAGATAGTCCCCATTGCACAGCGAGCCGGGCTCTGCTGATGAGACACTGAATTTTGAACCCGGTACAGGGTTTTCTTGAGTGAAACCAGAGCGGCTGAAATTATGCATTCCCAGAAGGCCGTGCGGCTGATGGGATGTGTCATAAATGTGTGTTTTATCTGGAGGAACAGATACGAGATTGAGGCATCATATTATATCACCTAAAATTATATCTCCACACGGCATCCCATGCCAATACTGTCCACCGTCTGTCTCGGGACTGTCCACGTGTCACCTCTGTATCGAGTGGAAATCTCAACTGAACGTGTGGTCATCATGATCGTAGCCACCACCAATCTTACCATCATCGTTATAATCTCCATTGTTGTTTTCACTAAAATCATCAAATCATTGGGAAACGCATTGCAGTATTTGCCTCCTACTGCGAAAACTTGGCAGGACCCTCCTAAAAAGGCGCTTGGGACGTTCCTTGGCAAACACGCGGACTCATTAAAAACAGCGATCATTAAACCGGAATCATAACAACAACAACGACAACAAAGCCAGGCTCGTTCGATGTTGCTCATTAGCTCAGTCTACGCCTGGCGTCGTCTTTATCTCTACGAACACCGATACCCCCACTGTATCCATGCAGCGTCTTGAGACGCGACCACGTGTGCTTCTTATGCAACTCGAGACACAATTTTTGTATTTTGCACCGCGCTCGCTGTCTCGGTCAGATACGATCAGCTGCTGTCAGTCCTCTTACGATGCGGCACTGGGTACACATCTGGTGACTGCTCCCGGGGCTGTGCACCCGAGCGAGAGGTCACCACCACCAGCAGCAGCAGCGTGGGGCCATCATTGCACTGCAGGACCCTTGTGCAATGCCAGACGCCGTGGTCTCTGTGTGAGTCTGTATCTCTGAGTCTATGGTCTCTGTGTGAGTCTATGGTCTCTGTGTGAGTCTGTGTCTTTGAGTCTATGGTCTCTGTGTGACTTTGTGTCTCTGAGTCTGTGGTCTCTGTGTGAGTCTGTGTCTCTGAGTCTATGGTCTCTGTATGAGTCTGTGTCTCTGAGTCTATGGTCTCTGTGTGAGTCTGTCTCTGAGTCTATGGTCTCTGTGTGAGTCTATGGTTTCTGTGTGAGTCTGTGACTCTGAGTTTATGGTCTCTGTGTGAGTCTGTGTCTCTGAGTCTATGTCTCTGTGTGAGTCTGTGTCTCTGTGTGAGTCTGTGCCTCTAAGTCTGTGGTCTCTGTGTGAGTCTGTGTCTCTGAGTCTATGGTCTCTGTGTGAGTCTGTGTCTCTGAGTCTATGGTCTTTGTGTGAGTCTATGGTCTCTGTGTGAGTCTGTGTTTCTGAGTCTATGGTCTCTGTGTGAGTCTGTCTCTGAGTCTATGGTCTCTGTGTGAGTCTATGGTCTCTGTGTGAGTCTGTGTCTCTGAGTCTATGGTCTCTGTGTGAGTCTGTGTCTCTGAGTCTATGGTCTCTGTGTGAGTCTATGGTCTCTGTGTGAGTCTGTGTCTCTGAGTCTATGGTCTTTGTGTGAGTCTATGGTCTCTGTGTGAGTCTGTGTCTTTGAGTCTATGGTCTCTATGTGACTCTGTGTCTCTGAGTCTGTGGTCTCTGTGTGAGTCTGTGTCTCTGAGTCTATGGTCTCTGTGTGAGTCTGTGTCTCTGAGTCTATGGTCTCTGTGTGAGTCTGTGTCTCTGTGTGAGTCTGTCTCTGAGTCTATGGTCTCTGTGTGAGTCTATGGTCTCTGTGTGAGTCTGTGTCTCTGAGTCTATGGTCTTTGTGTGAGTCTATGGTCTCTGTGTGAGTCTGTGTCTTTGAGTCTATGGTCTCTATGTGACTCTGTGTCTCTGAGTCTGTGGTCTCTGTGTGAGTCTGTGTCTCTGAGTCTATGGTCTCTGTGTGAGTCTGTGTCTCTGAGTCTATGGTCTCTGTGTGAGTCTGTCTCTGAGTCTATGGTCTCTGTGTGAGTCTGTGTCTCTGTGTGAGTCTGTCTCTGAGTCTGTGGTCTCTGTGTGAGTCTGTGTCTCTGAGTCTATGGTCTCTGTGTGAGTCTGCGTCTCTGTGTGAGTCTGTGTCTCTGAGTCTATGGTCTTTGTGTGAGTCTGTGTCTCTGTGTGAGTCTGTCTCTGAGTCTGTGGTCTCTGTGTGAGTCTGTGTCTCTGTGTGAGTCTGTGTCTCTGAGTCTATGGTCTTTGTGTGAGTATGTGTCTCTGTGTGAGTCTGTGTCTCTGAGTCTATGGTCTCTGTGTGAGTCTGTGTCTCTGAGTCTATGATCTTTGTGTGAGTCTGTGTCTCTGTGTGAGTCTCTGTCTCTGAGTCTGTGGTCTCTGTGTGAGTCTGTGTCTCTGAGTCTATGGTCTCTGTGTGAGTCTCTGTCTCTGAGTCTATGGTTTCTGTGTGAGTCTGTGTCTCTGAGTCTATGGTATCTTGTGAGTCTCTGTCTCTGAGTCTGTGGTCTATGTGTGAGTCTGTCTCTGAGTCTATGGTCTCTGTGTGAGTCTGCGTCTCTGAGTCTATGGTCTTTGTGTGAGTCTGTGTCTCTGTGTGAGTCTGTGTCTCTGAGTCTGTGGTCTCTGTGTGAGTCTGTCTCTGAGTCTGTGGTCTCTGTGTGATTCTGTGTCTCTGAGTCTATGGTCTCTGTGTGAGTCTGTGTCTCTGAGTCTATGGTCTCTGTGTGAGTCTGTGTCTCTGAGTCTATGGTCTCTGTGTGAGTCTGTGTCTCTGAGTCTATGGTCACTTGTGAGTCTCTGTCTCTGAGTCTATGGTCTATGTGTGAGTCTGTCTCTGAGTCTATGGTCTCTGTGTGAGTCTGTGTCTCTGAGTCTATGGTCTTTGTGTGAGTCTGTGTCTCTGTGTGAGTCTGTGTATCTGAGTCTGTGGTCTCTGTGTGAGTCTGTCTCTGAGTCTGTGGTCTCTGTGTGAGTCTGTGTCTCTGAGTCTATGGTCTCTGTGTGAGTCTGTGTCTCTGAGTCTATGGTCTCTGTGTGAGTCTGTGTCTCTGAGTCTATGGTCTCTGTGTGAGTCTGTGTCTCTGAGTCTATGGTCTCTTGTGAGTCTCTGTCTCTGAGTCTATGGTCTATGTGTGAGTCTGTCTCTGAGTCTGTGTCTCTGTGTGAGTCTGTGTCTCTGAGTCTATGGTCTCTTGTGAGTCTCTGTCTCTGAGTCTGTGGTCTCTGTGTGGGTATGTCTCTGAGTCTATGGTCTCTGTGTGAGTCTGTGTCTCTGAGTCTGTGGTCTCTGTGTGAGTCTCTGTCTCTGAGTCTATGGTCTCTGTGTGAGTCTCTGTCTCTGAGTCTATGGTCTATGTGTGAGTCTGTGTCTCTGAGTCTATGGTCTCTTGTGAGTCTCTGTCTCTGAGTCTGTGGTCTAAGTGTGAGTCTGTCTCTGAGTCTATGGTCTTTGTGTGAGTCTGTGTCTCTGTGTGAGTCTGTGTCTCTGAGTCTGTGGTCTCTGTGTGAGTCCCTCTCTGAGTCTGTGGTCTCTGTGTGAGTCTGTCTCTCAGTCTATGGTCTCTGTGTGAGTCTGTGTCTCTGAGTCTGTGGTCTATGTGTGAGTCTGTCTCTGAGTCTATGGTCTCTGTTTGAGTCTGTGTCTCTGAGTCTATGGTCTCTGTGTGAGTCTGTGTCTCTGAGTCTATGGTCTCTGTGTGAGTCTGTGTCTCTGAGTCTATGGTCTCTGTGTGAGTCTGTGTCTCAGAGTCTATGGTCTCTGTGTGAGTCTGTGTCTCTGTGTGAGTCTGTGTCTCTGAGTCTATGGTCTCTGTGTGAGTCTGTGTCTCTGAGTCTATGGTCTCTGTGTGAGTCTGTGTCTCTGAGTCTATGGTATCTTGTGAGTCTCTGTCTCTGAGTCTGTGGTCTATGTGTGAGTCTGTCTCTGAGTCTATGGTCTCTGTGTGAGTCTGCGTCTCTGAGTCTATGGTCTTTGTGTGAGTCTGTGTCTCTGTGTGAGTCTGTGTCTCTGAGTCTGTGGTCTCTGTGTGAGTCTGTCTCTGAGTCTGTGGTCTCTGTGTGATTCTGTGTCTCTGAGTCTATGGTCTCTGTGTGAGTCTGTGTCTCTGAGTCTATGGACTCTGTGTGAGTCTGTGTCTCTGAGTCTATGGTCTCTGTGTGAGTCTGTGTCTCTGAGTCTATGGTCACTTGTGAGTCTCTGTCTCTGAGTCTATGGTCTATGTGTGAGTCTGTCTCTGAGTCTATGGTCTCTGTGTGAGTCTGTGTCTCTGAGTCTATGGTCTTTGTGTGAGTCTGTGTCTCTGTGTGAGTCTGTGTATCTGAGTCTGTGGTCTCTGTGTGAGTCTGTCTCTGAGTCTGTGGTCTCTGTGTGATTCTGTGTCTCTGAGTCTATGGTCTCTGTGTGAGTCTGTGTCTCTGAGTCTATGGTCTCTGTGTGAGTCTGTGTCTCTGAGTCTATGGTCTCTGTGTGAGTCTGTGTCTCTGAGTCTATGGTCTCTTGTGAGTCTCTGTCTCTGAGTCTATGGTCTATGTGTGAGTCTGTCTCTGAGTCTGTGTCTCTGTGTGAGTCTGTGTCTCTGAGTCTATGGTCTCTTGTGAGTCTCTGTCTCTGAGTCTGTGGTCTCTGTGTGGGTATGTCTCTGAGTCTATGGTCTCTGTGTGAGTCTGTGTCTCTGAGTCTGTGGTCTCTGTGTGAGTCTCTGTCTCTGAGTCTATGGTCTCTGTGTGAGTCTCTGTCTCTGAGTCTATGGTCTATGTGTGAGTCTGTGTCTCTGAGTCTATGGTCTCTTGTGAGTCTGTGTCTCTGAGTCTGTGGTCTAAGTGTGAGTCTGTCTCTGAGTCTATGGTCTTTGTGTGAGTCTGTGTCTCTGTGTGAGTCTGTGTCTCTGAGTCTGTGGTCTCTGTGTGAGTCCCTCTCTGAGTCTGTGGTCTCTGTGTGAGTCTGTCTCTCAGTCTATGGTCTCTGTGTGAGTCTGTGTCTCTGAGTCTGTGGTCTATGTGTGAGTCTGTCTCTGAGTCTATGGTCTCTGTTTGAGTCTGTGTCTCTGAGTCTATGGTCTCTGTGTGAGTCTGTGTCTCTGAGTCTATGGTCTCTGTGTGAGTCTGTGTCTCTGAGTCTATGGTCTCTGTGTGAGTCTGTGTCTCAGAGTCTATGGTCTCTGTGTGAGTCTGTGTCTCTGTGTGAGTCTGTGTCTCTGAGTCTATGGTCTCTGTGTGAGTCTGTGTCTCTGAGTCTATGGTCTCTGTGTGAGTCTGTGTCTCTGAGTCTATGGTCTCTGTGTGAGTCTGTCTCTGAGTCTATGGTCTCTGTGTGAGTCTGTGTCTCTGTGTGAGTCTGTCTCTGAGTCTGTGGTCTCTGTGTGAGTCTGT